AATCAATCCTACAGAGGTGGGTTTCGAGCACGAGGCAGAGGTTGAGGGCGTCACCATCAAAATTACCATGGACGACATGAACAAAATGTTCCTCACCAATCAAGTCAACCTGAAAAGGTTAAACCACAAGCTAATACTACCGAGCAACAACACATGGAAAAAACCTCTAAGGGCAACGTTGTATGAGGAGTGATTAACACCATTGCCAAGGGTTTTGCGGGAGGTGGAAGCTCCAACTCTGCCAGGAAACGATATCTACGTCATGTTCACAACGTTAGTAACCTCGGTGAGACCATTTTGAAACTTGACATGCCAACCCCTCCTATTTTCTTAACCGATGATGAATACAAAGGAATAGTCCTTAACCAAGATGACCCCATGGTCATCTCAATGGAAGTCGCGAACTGGGAAGTCTATAAAACCTTAATTGATTAGGGTAGCTCCGCCGATGTGTTATACTGGCCGACATTCCTAAAGCTCGACATTCCTCATGAAATGATCCAACCTTACTTAGAACCATTATTAGTTGGCTTTGCTGGTGAGCGCATTCATACTCGTGGACTTATTGAGTTACTAAGTATTTTTGGTGCAGCTCAAAACTCGAAAAGAGTGTTGGTAAAATATTTGCTCGTAGATGCACTAACATTGTACAACATCCTTATTGGGAGATCGACACTGAACCAATTAGGAGCAGTTGTATCCACGCCTCATCTTGCCATTAAATTCCTAGGTGTAAATGGGCATGTAGTGACTATCAAAGCCAATCAACAAATACCAAGGAGATGTTATGCTAAGAGTCTAAGAATAAACCCGGTCAAGCTCTGATATGACTCATCATCTCCTATCATCACTTCGGGCACATCATCCCCCACCATCATGGCTCACATCGGCACGGATGTGACAACCGACTTGGACCCCTGAGTTGACATGTAGCCGACCTGGGATCCCGAGTTGACATGCATGATCACCGACTGAGTTTGGTGGATGAGCTATTTGAGTTCTAAATTGGCAAACAACCTAATCAATGCAGCAAAATTGGTAAACACATTGAAACTGACATCTAGAATAAGATCATGTCAATTTTAATTGAAAATGCTGACCTTTTTGCATGGTGTAGTGCGGATATGCCTGGAATAGATCCCAACATCATCTGTCATAGATTAGCAATTCACAAAGAAGCCAAACCTGTCTCACAAAAGCAAAGGAAAATTGGAGGTGAAAGAAGAGAGGCTCTCAAGTCTGAAGTATAGAAACTTTTGAATGAAAAATTTATCAAGGAAATCAAATACACTACTTGGTTAGCTAATATTGTTATGGTTAAGAAATAAAATGGTAAATGGCGCATTAAACAAGGCCTGCCCAAAAGATGCATACCCTTCCCCAACATTGATATATAGATTGGTCAATGGAGCCTCCGGATACGCCATGCTTAGTTTCCTTGGTGCATACTCGAGTTACAAGCAGATTCTGATGTACCCTCTAAACGAAGCACATACCGCGTTAATCACGAAACAATCAAACTATTGTTACCGTGTCATGCCTTTTGGACTCAAAAATGTAGGAGCTACTTATCAAAGGCTTATGGACAAGGTCTTTGCTAAGCAAATCGGTCGTAACCTCGAAGTTTATGTTGATGACATGGTCATCAAACAAAGTCGGTTGAAGAAAATATTCAAGATTTGAAAGAAATCTTCCAACAAAGAAGGAAGCATAACATGAGGTTAAATCCAAAAAAATGCGATTTTGGGGTCCATGGCGAAAATTTTTGGGATTCATGATAACTTGTAGAGGAATTGAAGCCAATCCCGACAAATGTCAAGCATTGATCAATATGAGAAGTCTACAAAACCATAAAGAGGTACAAAGGTTGGCGGGACGAGTTGCTTCTTTATCTCGGTTCATTCCTAAGATGGCAGAAAAAAGAGAAACCAATTTTTAATTTATTGAAGCAACCAAAAGATTTCTGATGGGATGACCGATGTTTTTGTAGCTTTAAGAAGTTCCTGTCTACCCCGCCAATCTTATGAAAACCAAATTGTCAAGTTGATCTTTTATTGTATCTTTTTGTGGCTGATAACGCTGTTAGTGCAACACTTGTTCAATAAAATGATAAAAGACAAATCCTTATTTATTTCATCAGTCGCGTTTTGAAGGAAACTGAAGAAAGGTACCAAACCATTGAAAAATTGGCACTAGCATTGGTAACCTCAGCCCGACAACTCCGACCTTACTTTCAAATCCATCAAATCATGGTGAAAGCCAATTATCCCATCAAAAAGATACTTCGAAACCTGATTTGGCAGGTCGGATGATAGCTTGGTCAATTGAAATTTCCAAGTATGGAATCAAATATGAAAGTTGAGGTCCATTGAAATCCCAATGTCTTGCTGACTTTGTTGCCGAATTGACACCCACTCTCAAGGTGAAAAATGAATCATGGACTTTACATGTTGACGGATCATCCAATGTCAAGGGCAGTGGTGCTGGGATTATCCTTGAAGGACCGAACAAGATGATGCTCGAGCTCGCTATTAAGTTTGATTGCAAAGCTACCAATAACCAAGTTGAGTATGAAGCGTTATTGGCAGGATTGAGGTTTGCCAAAGACATTAGTGTTAAGCGATTGAAATGTTGCAGTGACTCCAAGTTGATCATAGAACAAAGGAGGAAATTATCAAAAAAAGGAGCCACAAATGTAAAGGTACAACCTCATGGTATCCCATTTTACATCCTCTTTTGATGATTTTCAAATTGAGCATATTCCTAGAGCAAAAAATTCTAGAGTTGATCTATTATCCAAGATTTCTAGTACTAAACGCCCTGGTCAGCATAAAACTATAATTCAGGAAACCATTACCACTACTTGCTATAACTCTGTAGCTATTTCGGTCAATGATATTTGTAACCAAAGTTGGATGTCTGACATTTAGAAGTATCTTAAGGATGGAATTTTACCCGAAAACAAGATGGAAACTTATAAAATTAGAGTTAAATCGTGCCATTTCATAATTGAAGCTGGGGAGCTATTCAAAAGAGGTTTCTCTATTCCTCTTTTGAAGTGTTTGGATACAGAACAAGCCAAATATGTAATGGAAGAAATCCATCGTGGAATATGTGGGATGCATTCCGGGGCCCGATCTATAGTTGTAAGAATAATTCATGCCGGGTATTATTGGCCGACCATGAGGTCAGATTGCAAAATGTATGTGCAAAAGTGCAGAGCTTGTCAAGAGCATGGAAATCTACACCAGTTACCCCCTACAACTTTACATTCCATGCAATTAGCATGGCCTTTCGCATGATGGGGGATGGATATACTCGATCCTTTCCCAATTGCCAAAGGCTAATTGAAATTCTTAATTGTAGGAATTGATTATTTCACAAAATGGATCGAGGCTGAACCCCTTGCCAAGATTACAGTAGCAGATGTTCAAAAATTTACATGGAAGAAGGTCATTTGCAGATATGGATTACCCCAGGCAGTCACCATCGATAACGAAAGGCAATTTGTGGATAAAAACTTTGAGCAATTCCTTCGACAACTTGGAATCCGCCATAGAGTAACCTCAGTTGAACATCCCCAGACAAATGGACAGGTCAAAGTAGCAAATAAAGTTATTCTCAAGGAACTTAGAAAAAGGCTCGGCTCCTCTAAAGTCGAGTGGATTGAAGAACTACCTGGTATCCTCTAGGCATGTCACTGTACACCATAAACAACTACCCAAAAAACTCCATACAAATTAACTTACAGAGCTGATGCCATGATACCTGTGGAAGTTAGTGAACCAAGTTACCGAAGATTAACTTTCAATGAAGTCCAAAATGAGGAGGAATTAAAAACTGATCTTGATTTTTTGGAAGAAGTCCGAGAACGTGCTAGAGTGAACGAAGAAGCTTGTAAACTCCGTGCTTCCAGAAGATACCATTCTAAATTAAAACTAAGATCCTTTCATAAGGGGGACCTTGTTTGGAGAGCCACAGCAGAAGCAAGGAAAGATACATCAACTAGACAATTTGCAGCAAATTGGGAAGGCCCTTTCTGCATCTTGGAGTGTTTGGAAAATGGTGCATACAGATTAACAAAGTTAAATGGTAAAGTCCTCCATAGGACTTGGAATGCTACCCACTTGAAATTATATTACAGCTGAATATGTAAACATAGGTAATGTACTTTTTTTCCTACTTCAGTATTTTCTCCAGATGTAAAAGGAAAAAAATGGGTTTTGGCTGAAGAGGTTTTAACGAGGCATACCTATATCCAATAAAGGAATATAAACTCAATTTCCTCTCCATGTTTATTGCATATTAAATTATTAAGATTATACCTTTTACAACTATGCGCTTATGCAATAAATCAAGTGTTATCTATGGCCAGATTTGGATCAATCATCATTACTTTTAATCAGTCAAGTTAACTCATACTTTATGGCCAAATATGCGCTTATACTTGAACTTGGCCTACTTAAACTTCGCTGACTTGGCTGAATTCGAGCCTAACTCAGACTTTAACTTGGCCTACTTAAACTTGGCTGACTTGGCCGAATTCGAGCCTAACTCATGTTATAACTTGGCCGAATTTGAGCCCAAGTTAACTTATACTCAAACTTGGCTGAATTCGAGCCTAACTCAAACTATAACTTGGCCAAACACGAGACCAAGTTAATTGGCCGAATTCGAGCCTAAGTTAACTTATACTTAAACTTGGCTGAATTCGAGCCTAAGTTAACTTATACTTCAAACTTGGCCAAATTCGAGCTTAAGTTAATTTATACTTCAACTCTCCCAAACTTAAGATTTATGAATTATAATTAGCTAATTCTAAATTGACTTCATTATAGATTTATCACGACATTCACAATTTAATTTTCTTTAAATTAGTACGACCTTAAAGAAAATCTGAAAAAGGTACCAAAACAAATTCAAAGCAAACTGCAAGTTTGTAAGTTTCTTTGTAGAAACTTCAAAACTCAAAATCTGAAAATTGCATAACATAGGAAAAATCTTAACATAAATGGTCAATTACAATTGCATCTAAATAGTAAAATTACTCGTACATTTTCTTGGCTCCTCCCTAATTTACTCTAGTCACTACTTGTATCGTCGGATAAATTGTCTTCATTAATCAGCTTGCTTTCAAACACATCCTTATCTATATGAACTTATTTCAAATCGACACCTGCAGCGACAACTAGGACTTGTCGTAATGCCTTTGAAAATCCTCTTTATCACTTGGAATTCTGTGGCCTCGAGTTCTTTGCTCAGTTCTTTGTTTTTGCTCTCTATATCACCAATCTTCTTCACATTAGCCGCGATCACCTCCTAACACGCTTTATTCTTCTCGCTCAATCCTTGAACTTCAACTTGTAAATTTTTAGTATTTTCCTCATATTCTTTCACCTTACTCTCCAAATCAGCAAGTTGCTTGTTCCAAGCTTCTTTCTCCCCCTCCATTAAACTCACCTTTTTCAAAAGTTGAAGACTTTGGCCGTGTAATACTTGTTGGATCTTACTAATATATCAAAAGCCTTTAAACTCTCCTCCAATTTCTTTTTTAGCTCAGTCACTTCAGCATTTAGCTGACCAATCTGCGCATTATCTATCTTCAACTTGGCCATATACATGGTATTCTTCTCCCATTTATTTTTCCAGTAGTCAACCATAGCTATCGACCTTTGCAAAAATACCTGAACAGAATCTAAACCTTGAACAGGGCCGACCTTTTCAATCATTGCCTTATCAGCAATGTAATCTAGATCTTCCTTGTAGAACGATTCAGCAGTAAACTTGGCATTCCAAAAAAGATGTCACATCAAGGGACATGCTTATATGATCTAACCTCTCAAAATGATGATTAGAATCATATCTCTGATGTAGCGTCCTTGGCCAGATTTTTGGCTCGGATTAAGAAGATCCTTCTTGGGGAGTCGGAGATGAGAATCCGAGTTAAGCCATGGAAGCTTGCAAACTCGATACCATCTGCTCCAAAGCATCAGAGGTCACTATGTTTTTTGATTTTACACTCTACAATAATTTATCAAAAGTAAGAAACACTATCTAGCACTAAGTGTAATAAGAGATGAAATACTCTTACCGTTTCCTTCTCGAGATCAATTATGGGACTCTTGCCGATATGTCGCTAGCCGATGTTATTTTTAGGTTACACAAAGACCTTCATGGCACCTTCAATTCTTACTGCTTCATCTATCTTGGGCTTGATATTCTCAATTTTTTGTTTCTTTAATTGATGCTTGGGAGGGCCAACGTCTGGGATCTCTTCCACGTTGAATTTAGCCTTTAATTCGTGTCATTTACTCTTCCCCATGATATCTACATATCACAAGCAGTCCAAAAATTATATTCTCACTAAATGCACATGTTATTGTTTAAAATTATAACCACAGTAACTATAACTTACTTTCTAAATCATATTGGAGATTTTTTGATCCGACAAGCAATATAACCAACTTGCTCTCTAAAGGTCGAGGTAGTAGTTGTAATTTTTCTATATCTCTTATCTTAGAAGGGGTTAACTCTAAACCTTCTTAACTAGTAAATTTTATAAGTTAGGATTGTTAATAAAAAGGAAATTTTGGTTCCCAATTCAAATGGAAAATACAATCCAAACTTGGATCACTACAAACAGATCAAACTTTGAAGAATTCCTCCTTGAAGCTCTTGTACGATTGGGAAAATATTTGGAATAACCTCACACCTTTTGAACTCCTACTCAACGAAACCCAACCAAAAGGTGGTTCACCCAGTTTTAATTGATAAAAATGCATGAACCTCGCTAAGATTATTTCAATCCCTAAGATTGAACACAAAATTTGAAATGCATGTAAAAAGCCCCGACTATTAGGGTGTAATTGACTCGGTACTATGTTAACCCTTTTTAAAAAATTGCACTCGAAAGAGGTGAGAGGGATTAAAAAACCTAAATCCCTAAATACACACGTATACATATATATACTGGGAGAAATAGATGAATGTTGGAAGAATACTCATTCTTCTGATAAACATGGTTCTATGGTGATTTGTTCTAAAATTGGCGGCAAACAAAACTTTAACTTATGCTATAATACAATAGCTTCCATCAGGCTCCTGAATTTGCTATTGTACTTACCAACATCACCTCTAACCTATTCATACCCGGTTACCAGAATCCTAGGGTGAGAATCCTTGCGATCATTTCCTCCTCTATTACGAACTTTTGCTTCCTCTATTTCAGAAATTTTACTTTTCCCCTTTTGATTCTTCACCTTATCTTTACCCATTGATCTAAAAAAATACCCTAGATGGAAGACGAGAGACAGAAAAAGCCTAAAACAGAAAAAGTAAGAAAACTTAGAAAACGAAACTAAGTGAATACCTGAGAAACGAATAAATCCAGAAGGCAAAATGTAGGATACTTCAAGTATTCGTTTTTATCTCAAGAAAGTGAAAGTAGCAATGATGTTACCCTATGAGAAATGCTCCCTTTAAATAGTCGTCTTCGCGCTTCTCTAATACTCAAAGGTCCCATTAATTTTTTCCGCACCCCAAGACTACTATTTTTTCACATATTTTGTGTATTACACCCATTAATGAATAGCCATTATTTTGGGGGTTGTGGATTGAAGAAGCGCCGACTAGTAGTAGATGAACAACGGTAATAATGGTACCCTAAAACCTGTGCACTTAACTTTAGCAACCTTTCGTATTCACATTCATTCGAAGCTTGTCTTATAACCTCGTCACTCCTACATTGCTCCAAGCTTGGGGGCTTATGTACTATAGCAATATAAAATGCCGACTTCGCTGACAACATCAACCGACTTCACTAACGACCTTAATATTAAGTGAATTTAGTTATTAATTTATATTAACATAATATTAATAATATAAGATTGAGAGATCGAAATAATGATACTAAACCCTAAAACACTTTTAAACATACCTAGATAACAAATTCAACTCTTCATCTCGCAGACTCAAAGCATACTCACACAATGTGGGACCAATTGTAGCCCTACCTGTTATTTATAGTACTCACCAAAATAAATCCTGAACAATGCAACTCCCAATCATTAGATTCGATGGATCTAATAGCTCCCCAAATGCAACCTTTCAACTACCAAGACATAACAATGCTACACAAAGGGTCACGTTCGTTATGCTTCTCTAGACTAACAACATTTCGAATTTATTACTTTTTGAACCTTTTCGATGCTTCTCTTATCAAGGCTAGGGGAATTATGTACCAAAAGGGGACTAAGAGACACGTATTTTAGCTCTCATGATTAGTTTTTGATGTCGGTCAAGTTGATTGATGAGGAACCCTGATGAAGTTCTTCTTGGAGAAAAACTTCAAGGAAGGCTTCCAAACAACTCCTTCTCGGATCCTTGGATTGATGCAAGGAATGGAGGCTTGAAAGAAGGAGCAAGGTAGCCTAGGTTCACCTAACTATTTCGGATAGAAGGTGAGGAACCTAACTTTACAAAGAGAAGATCTCAAGTAGGGTAGAGAAAAGGCTCAAGGAGACTTTCGGAGGGAGAATTAGCAAAGAGTTTAATTCTCATATAATGATCCAAAAGTGCTAAAACTCTCAGCCAAAATGAATTTATAGGGAAAACTAGGGTAAGGTGCACGTTGGTTTAACCTAAGGTTAAGTTAAACCATGGTATGGTTTAACTAACCTTAGGCACCAAAATTTGAATAGGTGCCAACCGGTCACCTCCCCATGTGCACTCTCATTTGGATGTAATTTGGTATCCATTTGAGTAGCATTTCAGACACACCATGTGCATGTGTGCACATGGCCGAAATGCATACTAAATGCCATACTAATTACATGCAAATGAACATGCACACACTAGTGCAAAAAAGGGCTACTACGTCACCTAATTTACGTCGGAAACTGGAAACCCCGACGTTGTAAAAATGCGGTGGAAGTTTTGTAAATATAGAGAGACTAATTTACGTCGGACAAAGGGGGGTCCGACGTAAATTAGACAATCTATGTCGGAGGTTCCATTGTCCGACGTAAATTTATGTCGGACCCCCCTTTGTCCGACGTAAATTTACGTCGGACCCCCCTTGTCCGACGTAAATTTTCCCCTAAAATGCCCAACGTTTCATTTCTCATTCCCGCGCGTCCCACTGTTAACGAAAAGTATTACTTCTTCTCTTATTCTCTAAGTCTCCAGGTGTCTTTGTTTCCACATTGCACGTTTCTAAGTCTCTAAGAGTCTGCACATTACACGTTTGAGGTTAGTTTCTTCTCTACACAAATTTTTTGTTTATTTTCTGTTATTTTTTCATCTGGAACAGGCCGTTTTTCAAGCAGAACGGGCCATTTTGCTTGCAGAACGGGTCGTTCTGCAAGCAGAAAGGGCTGTTCTGCAAGCAATACGGGTCGTTCTGCTTAAATTTTTTATTTTGTAAATTGTTAATCTGGAACGGCCCGTTCTGGTTTCAATACGGGTAATAACGGATTAAAGTGTTAATCCTAATACCCCTTCTCAAGTTGGGTGATAAATGTTTAATAAACCCAACTTGGAGATAGCAATATGAAATGGTTTAGGAAATAATGCTTTTGTAAAAGCATCAGCCAATTGATTTGCAGACAGAACATGAATCAAATGCAAATGACCCTCTTGAATTTTGATGCGAATTAGGTGACAATCCACTTCAATGTGTTTTTTCCTTTCATGAAATGTTGGATTTTTGGAAATTTGTATAG